TTTTTTTCATTTTTTTATAGGACGTTGTTATTCTTAAAACTATTTGAAAAGAACAAATTTCATATATTTAAATTTTATACATATAAATAATAAATATAGTCTATAAAATAATTTATCTATCTAATTTGAATATCATATTAAAAAAAATTAAAAATTTATTTAAAAATTTTAAAATTTTAATAACCCAGTTCCCCTAATCTATTTTAGATTGTCATAAACTTGAACCAATATAATTTTTATGCAGATAATACATGTTTTGTTCATCCCTTAATTTTTCGTATGAAACAAAATGATATACCTTTTCGTGTATAAACCAACACGACTATCATCACCCGACTTCTGTTTAAGCATGAACAATGAGAAAAATTGATAAAGAAGACATCGTTCAATGTATAAACACGTTCTCAAAAAATAATTTTGCACATTAATTATAATAATAAATAACTACTAACTAAATATCGGATAGTACTGCATATACAAATTCAGACTAGTTTTAATAAAGTATGTTTATTAAATAAAATGTATAATAGAGTATCGATGAGTACATTAACTTTTAACATTGATATAACTTGAGTCAAACATAGGGCTATATAATATGCACCTTTTACATGTAAATAACAAAAAGATTTTATGTTCAAATATCTAATTTAATGTACCAGGATATTACAAATTACGTAAAATTTCATCTAACTCCGTAACATAAACTATTGTATCAACATAGTAGTCTAGTTTTTTATCGATCATAATAATATTCCTACCGAATTAAGAAAACATAAAAAAAGAAATGGCAATGCATATTCACATTGCCCTCGTTTGTTATAACATTAATGAACAATAAGGAGACACACGTTTGAATTCATAAATATGGTGATATAAGTTGAATTAAAAAAAAGTAAAATAATACCCGAGATTAAGAAAATTACTTTTTTATTCTTAGGGTTTACCGATTTTATAAGTAAAAAACAAAACAATGATTCATATTACTAAAAAAATACAAATTCTCTCTTTGTTGGCTATAAATGAACCGAACATCGAAGAAAAAAAAGTTACTCTTTTAGATTTTATGTTTCTATCTCGCTTTTTTATAGACCAACTTCTGGAACAAACATAACAATTTTTTTTTTTATATATTTCAACTTCGCACTTCATCGCGGAGTTCTAGCTTTCTTTTTCTTTAAAAGAGATACAAATGTATCGTATCTCTCTCTTTTAAAAAAACATGTTCTCTCCTCCTTCGAGCTTTGATTTTTATGGCCAAAAGAAAATCTTTCCCGTCATACCTATGAATCCTCAAAAATCAATCCTCCATTTTCTAACGTGTCGATCCTCTCTTCCTTTATTTTCTTTCTCCCTTTCATTTCTTTTTCCTAGCTACCACTCCATCTCCACTTCTTTTCTCTTTTTTGGCCATGAAAAAATTTGGTGTTCTACTTTTTTTTTTTAATTTTACAAAAGATGTTATTTAACATAATTTATTAAAATAAAATCATTTTAAACTTTCATTAAAACTGAAACGACCTAATTGAAAAGACATTGTTTCAACTCCTTTAGAATTGGGCTTGAACGGCGTTGTTTAAATGTCTTATTTGATAATTTTGGTCACGTCTTTTCTCGAGACCGAAATTTTCTCATTTTTTACCAAGTGTTTTTCTCAATTTTTCTCGATAGAAGAATTGAGTTTTCGTTCAATACTTTACTCGCAATTATTTTTTATTATTTATCATTATAATAATAATAATTTTTTACAAAAAAAAAATTAAAATATTACGTTAGAAAATCTTTTCATAAAATGAAGTTGTTGACTTGAATTTCTCCATTGTTTCTTCATCAATCAGAAACCAACCGCCAAAACCGTTATCATTCCCGGGTTACGTCTCCTTTATTTCCTGTTTACTTCACTTTCCACAAAAATTCTTCCTTTCTTCCTGCTGATCTCTCTCTCAATCTCTTCCTCGATCTGACAGAAGTATACACCCCACGATTGACGTTGTTGAGACCATCTTACGCAGAGAAGCAGATAGGAACAGGAGAAATGGAGATCCAAAATGGTATCCAGAATGGTGATTTCAATAATTTACCGGATCGCCATGAATCGTCTTTGATATTTCTCGGTACCGGTTGCTCCAGCGCGGTTCCTAATGCAATGTGTTTGATCAAGCCCTCTTCTCCTCCTTGCGCTGTCTGCTCCCAGTCCCTATCTATCCCACCTGAACGTAACCCTAACTACAGGTATCTTGTTCTTTTTAGAAAAAAAAAAATTTGTTTGCGATGTAAATTAGCGGCTGATTGTCGGTGTTTGGGATTGATTGAGGCTAGATCTGCAAGTCTTAGCGGGTTAGTGGATGTGTATCTGGTGTGTTTTGGGTTCGATTTGGTGTATTAAGTCTCCTGCTTGGTTCGCATTGTGCAGTTTGGGGAAGTAAAGATGTGATTTTTAAATTATTGGGAAGCTTTTTTACTGTCATTTGGTTTTTCATTGTGTAGATTTAGTAATGGTCGATTGACTCTTTGTGACAGTATCACTGTATGATTATAATATCAACTTGCAAATGTTAAAGATTGCAAAGAAAGTATAGAAGCGGAAGAAAACAAAGGAATGTTGAAATCTCAATTTTAGACTTTGGGGCCCTAGAATTTTAGATTTTGAGCAGTAGATGAATATTTGTTTGGTTTAGCTTTTATTTTTTTATTCTTTTCACTACATTATTCTTGAAATTTAGCAGAATTATGATTGCTTACTTTGTAATTTGAAGTTTAATGAAGTTACTTTCTGTTCCATATCCCTCTTTAGCTATGAGGTTCTGTTTTTGGCTTTAACAGGTGCAATACTTCTCTGCTTATTGATTACTGCCCGAGTGATGGAAAGCATAACTATATACAAATTGATGTAGGGAAGACATTCAGAGAGCAAGTGCTTCGCTGGTTTACCTTTCATAAGATTCCCCAAGTTGATTCCGTAAGTTGCATTTCAACTTGTCCTCCCTTTATACCTCTATTTTGAATTATTCATTTCGATTATTATTTTCTGTTCAATCTTTTGAACTAGAAAAATACAGATTTATGACTAAGGTTCACTTTCTTATCTCCTTTGTTTTCTCTGAATCCTATAAGCAATGATTAGCCTCCTTCTGCTGGTCTAGCCTCTAACAAGTATTAGAGCCTCAAGTTTCGCACAAAGAAAAGGAAGTTTTGATGCATGAGGAGCTAAGCTAGTTCTAGTTCTTTTAGAGAAAAGAGAAATGTGTTAGGTCAGGGACGCAGGATAGCAAAGAGGGCAGGGACACATCAGACATCTCAAATGACATTCTGAAACTTCTTTTACAATAGAAATTAAAGATAAGACAACAAACAGATGGTAATAACATACAATAGAAACTTGGCAACTAGAGACAATCTACATAAACTTGGACCTTTTTCTTCCTCCTTTGGTAGACCATAGCAAAGGTTGTGATGTTGGGTCCCTTAAAAGGAATGAAGTGGTAGGGTTCCTCATTTGTAGTTTGTTGACAGCATTAGCCTTTTCTTATCTCAAACTAAGAATGTTGTTACCAATGAAGTTTCTCTCTTGCAAATTCTTGAAGCAATCATACTTTTAAGGACCAATTTGTCTGAAGGTGGTTTGGCTGGTATTAATACGGAGAAGAGTATCATTGACTAAAATAATTTGGGATTACCAAATCTTAGTTGCAGATATATGCTCCCTTACATAAGAGCAAGGATTTTTTTTTTGTTACTTAATTACTTTCATAAGCTTCAAACTGTATGTGATTCATGAAATAGATCCAAAGGGTAGTAGTCCAGAAGCATGGTGGTTTGTTCACAAGATTATATGGCAATCTCAAGCTCTACAACTAGTCTTTACCAATATCATGATTGGTGTTATTGCTTAACAAGAAAGTAATCTTCTAGCAAGTGATCTATGCGAGTTAGTTTAGTGAACTCATTCATAATAAGCACCCTGCACACTTGCTCATGTATCAGCGCACAAGTGATTAATGAGAACAATCATATTGTAAGGATAAAAGTAGTATACCAATATAAGTTAGATTAGGAATGTTTTGTGTTTGTAATCTTTTGAGAACATTTAAAGACTTAAGAGCTTAGTAAAGCAGAGTCTCCATTATTATGATCACTATGACAATCTTATTTTCCTTCAAATATGTTAAGAATTTTATCACAAAGAATGAACATTTTAAATAAAACCATTCAAGTAGAGAAGTTCATGATAAAACACAGATATCTTTTATGAACAAATAATAATGTGAACAATTGAATGAGATTATTACATAATTAGATTCTATCAGAGCCCCGTGTGACTAGCTTAAGGGTATATTACTACAATTAAATTCCTGCATCTTTGCTTCTAACCTAACAGGATGCTCAAATACTTGTTTGGAAAAGAAGCTAAGCACTTAATGGAATGGCCAAGTATATTGTTGGTAAAGAGGCTACCTGACAACCTAAAATTTGAATATAGTAGCTCATTTGGATGCCCTCGCTGATGGAACTATAGTCAATTTACCGGAGTTAATCCTCAAGCAAGATAGTAGTTGAAAGCAAATGGGGCATTCAATATATAAAAAAGAGGATCCACTAGGCTTATGGAAAAGAAGCACCGAGTCATCTGCGAAAGGAGGTCAGAGAGGCTGCTTATAATCACCTTCACCAATTGAGCGACCTTGAAAAATATCTCTTTGTAGTGTTTAAAGCTTCCATGACTAAGATGAAGAGGAACAGTGGAGAGTATTTTATAATTTCAGATCCTTGGAGGATTTGGAGAAGTTGATAGGACCTCCACCAATGAAAATCGCAAAAAATCCATTTGATGTGTACCAATTAATCCATGTAATGCTCATTCTCAATAAACAATTAATTCTGTTTCTCTCTAAATTTCCACACATCATAGTGCTACGTTGATGACTTCCTGACTTTGTTTATTAGCAGGATCCTGAATGTTCTAAGATTACTAGGACTGATTTTTGAATGAACTGCAGATTATTTTGACTCATGAACATGCTGATGCAGTTCTTGGTCTGGATGATATTCGTGCTGTGCAACCATTTAGCCCTACAAATGACATTGATCCAAGTCCTGTTTACCTATCTCAATTTGCAATGGATAGGTAATATTCTCCATCTTCATTTATTTCCTTCCAGGTGGATCAAGTGTTTTCCTTCTTTTCCTTTTTCAGCAAGAACAACACCCCCAAAAAAAAAACAAAAAAAAAAAAAAAGAAAAACCCAAGTTTAATTATGTTTGCTTTTTTCTGTAATTATGTTTTTTTTGTTGTAAGACAAGTCTCCTTGTGTTACACTGAAGTGTATTTATTGACAACTACTGATGGCTTGTTCCAACTTGGCTTTATAAAGATCAACTACTATTAATCACAATAATCTTTTTTTTATTTTTGTGATTATGATCATACCTGAAACCATAAGCATGTATGCGAGAGTTGGCCATCCAAAAATGGTGGAGGCACTTGGTTGTTCTTTAAATATTATGATAATCATATATGTGTGAAATAATTAAGTTTGGCAACCACTTGTCAAAACCTTAGCTAATAGCAAAAGATATAACTTTGTTTATCTATACTCTAATGGTTAGAAAGATGCCATCCGCCCTGTACTTCATAACTGTAAATTTAATCGCTAAATGTGAAAAGCAGTTGTCTATTTGGCCTTTCATAATTTGAGTTTCAATTATTTTTTCCTTTCATTTTTCTCTTGGATGAAAACTTTACCTATAGGCTTGTAACATTACTTTATCTCTGGCTCTTTTGTATCTTTGTCATAGTATTGCAGTGAAATTCCCGTACTTGGTCCAGAAGAAACTTAAAGAAGGCCAAGAAGTGAGACGAGTAGCACAGATTGACTGGAGAATAATTGAAGAGCACTGTGAAAAAGCCTTTGTTGCATCAGGCCTACAATTCACACCTTTGCCAGTTACGTGCACACCCATTTGAAATCACAAAGCATATTCTCTGTTATTTTGGATGTTTTAAGCTTATTGGTTATGTTTTGATTATAGGTGATGCATGGAGAAGACTATGTTTCTTTGGGTTTTCTGTTTGGTCAGAAATCTAGAGTCGCGTACATATCTGATGTCTCACGATTTCCTTCAAGCACAGAGCATGGTTAGCAATGAGTTAGTTTTGCTTATTGGAATATAGTTCTTGCACTATTTACATATGCATAGTAATTGAATTATGTGTCCAGTTAATTTTCTTGTTTCACTCATGAATTACATTCTATGCTCTTGGCCGTTGTGGATTTCAGTTTTCAAGTTAATGCACCTATTCTCTCCTGCATTTCTCTTTTGTTTTTCTGACGGCAGATGTCATATAATTTAAGCAGTCCTCGCTCATGATTTATTTTTTTCCATAATAAGGCATTACCTGTTTCACAGTAAATCTTTAAACATTCATATCAGTTCTATTGTACTCTTTGACGAGAAATTTTACCTGCAGTGATATCAAAAACTGGAGCTGGGCAGTTAGATCTTCTTATTTTGGACACACTTTACAAGGTTTGTTGATATAATATTTTTCTGGTACTTTCTGACTGCTTTTGGAAGATATCTTTCAGCTTGTTTATTTATCAAACGATTTTCTGGATTACATTGTCTATGAGCATATATGCATATTCAAAACCCAGAGTAATTGGGCTACATAGATTCTCTTCTTTTATTTAGGATAGCAAATAAGAGACAGCTATAACATATTGCTGGCTGGCAAAAGAAAATCCTAAATGACAAATACTCTAGTGTTTGACGCATATATGTTGTAGTTTCATTTGGGAGACTAGTATCTTAAGCCTCATAATCTATGCATGTTTCTATGGTATGTGATCTGTGGCACAGAGTGTTCTTGATTGCTTTTGTTCTTGTAATTTTTGGGAGATATAATGTTTTGGTTATCAATCATTCCTTTTTCTCTCTTTGCAGAAGGGATGTCATAACACTCATCTATGCTTCCCTCAGGTTTCTCCTACATCCACTGGTAGCTTTTTTTATTGTTAATTTGTTGGTAGTCAAAAGTTGATCACCTTGACTGATTGCATTTATGCAGACCCTTGAAGCCGTGAAGAAATTATGTCCAAAACGGGCCTTGTTAACAGGAATGACACATGAGTTTGATCACCACAAAGACAATGAGTTTCTTATGGAATGGTTTAAGAGGTAGGTAACTATAACTTTGAGTTTGGTTAAAATTCATTTTCATGGAACAAGAATGAGAATGAAATACAAATAGAATATAAATTAAAAATAGAAATAATATTATAATTCCAAACTAATTTTATGCCCAATGTAAATTGGGTATTTTTATGATTTCTTTCTTAATATGTGAGAGTACAAGATCTACAATTGTAGAACTAAAAATATGAGTGAAGTTGATGTAATTATGCATCAAATATGTAAATTATAACTAAATTTTTCACATCAAATAACTAAAATATAAGATTGGAGGGGTGTGATCATACTAATACTATTAAAACTCTCATAGTTAAGTATGTTTGGGTGAGAATAGTACTAAGATGGATGACTTCTTGAGAAGTTCTCGTGTTGCACTTATTTTTTAAGTTATGTCAGGAAAGATATCTAAGACTTGGAGGATAGTAACAACGATTTGAACCAAATGTATAAAAATTATCTAACTAACATGGAATGAGAGACTAGTTTAACAAATTTTTTTCAATTGTTTGCATATAGGGAAGGAATCCCAATTCAACTTGCACATGATGGGTTGAGAGTCCCCATAGAGCTATGATATGAGGTGCGTTCAACAATCTCTTCTTTCATCCTGTAGAACTCCATCTCTGTGTGTGTATATATGTGTGTGCCTTCATCTTCAGTTGTGTATAATACAGGACGTTTATTCATGGGGAGGAGATGTATGATTGTATAGTCTCAATTCTCTATGGGTTGGAGGAAAGACACTTAATATTTGGACAAGTCAAAAACATTCTACTACTTCTCTGCAGCTCTTGTTGAAGAGTCTATCCATGAAACTACTGAAACATTATAAAACAAGCGTTAAGAAATGTGAACTTGTTGCATGAGATAAAGGAGATTCCACTTAATTCTTCAAACTTGTACCCTTCTGCACTTTTTCTAACTTCACATTATTACAATAAAATATCATGTCTCTTTTCTTAATAATGCACATGTTACTGTAATGTTTAGATTATAACATAATTGTGAGCATTAATGTATTAACTACAAGCTAAATAGTTTCTGTAGAAGATAATAAAAATAATATTTCAAAATTTTGTAACATCATCACAATTTTTACAGTTATTCCTTTTATTTTTAATTAGTTTGTAGGATTTTGTAAATGAAATATGTATAAACTTGGAAAATTAAAATTAAAAAAGTTTTAATTGAGGATGACAGAAATTTGTGACAGGACATTCCGGGGGTGTTCTGATAGGGTTATATGACTAATTAAATCAAGATTCATGAGCAAATACTGAAATATCTTGTTCAAAACTCCTTTGGATTATGATATGTTCCTTTGGATTATGATATGTTCCTTCAAATTTTCGTATCAGAAAAGCAATAATCTAAATCAAAAGGTTTTTCTGTTTAATGGAGAATATGAACAAAGTTTTTGACACATCATTTGCACATTTTCTTCATTGTTTTTATAGCTGGTTTTCAACTGAAGTCACTTGAATAAATACATGGTGGCTCTCAACATACAAAAAACAGCCTCTCCTTGGATTATCAGTGATGGGAAAAACCATAATACAAACTTTACTGCTTTGGCTCAACAAGTATTTGATCATGGTTTCTTTCTTCTATTCACTGTTTTTATGTTTTTTGTCATTACCAGCCACAGCAGATGTACTTCGTTGCGGGTATCTGTCCTGTTTCCCGGATATATTCTGCTTGAGCTGCAGTCCTCTCTGCATCTCGATTTTTTCTAGCTTCCGCTGCAGCCCTTCTTTCTTCCGATCTTGCCTTGCCATTGCAATTTTCTTCACCATATTTGCTTGAGCTTGAGCTCTCAACTGTTCAACTTTTGCCTGAAAATGATTATGAATTCAATTATAGACATTGAATGATACATATGAATCACCTAATTATCAATACTAATACCCTCCAAGCAATCCAATTAAATTTCTCAAACTGGAGTAATAGCACTAGTTTTAGATAAACTTAATCAACAAACTTACTAAAATTGACAGTTGGATATTCAATGTTTCCAACTTATTGAAGAATTCTTTTAAAAAATTTTCTCTTTTTTTAACCTTTTCTCGAGCCTGTTTATCAGCCTGTTAGTGATACTAGTTTCCAGTTAATTCACCAGAATAGCCAAAACCAAGATGGACAATGCAAATAATAAAGGAGTTTGTACCACATATGTATGCATGAGAACAAGAATTTTTAATACCTCTATTCTTCTTATCTCTGCTTCTAGTTTCGCTTTCTGCTGACTTTCCCATGCTTGGATTTTGATTTCTTCACGCTTATACCTGGAAATTTGAATTAAAGTTTCATCCTATTTATGCAATGTAACATGATTCAAAGCATAAGAAATAAATCACTAAATGCATATGAGTACTGCCATGAAATAGAACATAGAACAAACCTTGCATTGTGCTTGGATTTTTCAGCTTCCTCCCACGCAGCTGCACGTTTGTCAAATTCAATCTGCTCTAACTCTGTTGCTTCAGTGGCTTCATCGGGAGTGTTATTTTTTTCCGGTTCATCTTTACTTGCCCAAGCAGCAATATTCATTTTCCCTAGCTGGACACCAAGAGCTACAATTTCTCTCCTCGTCTTGAGCTTCAGCTCTTGCTCTGACAACTCTTTTTTGCTATTTTCTGCAGGTTGCTGTGATTCATCATCAGTGGCTTGATGAATAGGTGTGGATGCCGGTGCGCCTCCTCGGGGAGTAGATGGAATTGAAGAGGTTGGACTCCGGATTGGGGTTGTTGCCCCTACGGGGGTAGCAGTCCTTGAAGGTTCTTGACTTGTAACAGGAGTCATTTCTGTTCCCATGTCTCTCATGCACACAGATCTAATGGCAGGAACAACTGCAAAAACCAATCAATTCGTATTATTGAAATCTAAAATTTAGGGAGAATGTCAACAACATATCTATAGACTCCATATGAAACAGATGTGAAAATAAGAAAGAGAGTTCATGATAATCTTTTGAAGAGATAAAATTTAAGGAATTCCAATCTTCAATAGAGAATCAGATCATTGAGCCCCTCAAACCCACAAGTCACAAGAAAGTTTGTAAATCATATAGAGATATCAGTCTGTAACCATGCATATATTTACTTAATCCTCCATTGTAATATCTTGGAAAGTCCATTATCGGCCACTGTTTATTCTGGACACCAGAACTTAAGTCACAGGAGAAAAGCAATAATTTTATCTGCATTTCATTGAGAAATCACCAACTAAAATAAGCTTTCACTTGGCTAACAGTAATCAATCTTGCAAATTGAGCAAAGCATGAAGCAAATATATTTACCTGCTGCGTCTTCTGCCGCGTTTAACTCCCTTTGATTAACTTCCCCCAAATCCTTGCTTTGCGTACTCTGATCAATTAATGCATTCCCTCCATATGCTTCACCATGAAAGGGGTTTGTCGAGGTAGAAACAAAGGAGAACCTCTCAAATGTTGTTTGTGCCGGCTGACAAAAATCTACCCGCTTAGTGTCTGCTGCCCTGCTAATAGTTGACTTCTGATCATAATTTGCGGATTCTGGTGCAACCCTCCCCATATTTGTCAGTGGCAACCGATTTGTTTGGTTGTATAAAGCATTCTTTTTGGAGTAACTATGTTGCGTATTCTGCTTATTCATTATCCATTTCTCAGCATCATTCCACTTGTATGGCATAGGCCTTGAGAATTGTCTTGTAATTGAATTGTGTACCGACCTCTCCACTTTATGGAACTCAAAACTCGAAGAACTAGCATTGCTATCATAATCAAGGTTTTCATCCTCTAGTGTTCTGGTCGGATGAACTGCACTCAAATTGCCATGATCATTATTCTTCGGAAAATGCAGCATTTTAACACGACCCGTATTGCCATTTTCCCTCAACAGCATCTCCTTTGGCTGACATGAAGGCTTGTCGCCTTGGCTGAAATCCACTGGTGCATCACCAGGTGCTATGACCATTGCAAGATCCAAGCTGGGAGCCACAACTGAAAGGCATATTTCGACACCGATCAGAACAAACACTTGTTCATCCATTCATTACAAAACCAAATTCAGAATCAAACTATTCTAAGCTGAATTAACATCATCTACAGGATTAAAAGAATACAGATATAACAAATTATTGGTTCATCATTGAAAACATTACTAAAACAAGTTACCCCAACAACTTTGCCAGAAAATTCAAGGTGAGGGACAGATAGGAGTTTCACTATGAGTTGAATAATATTAAAGTTATTGATTGGAAAGAAAGATAAAAGAGAGTAGAATACCTGTCTCATCAAAATCATTCTTGGAGTCTAACAAGCTGTTCCTGGCAAACTCAGATTCCTCCAGCCTTGAAGGAGATGTTCTTGAGGAGTTGCTGCTGGGGCCATCCTTCTTCCTATGATTATGAGGCCCCAAAAGCTTCATCCTCAGTTTACTTGGTGATATAATACCAGTCTGTATGATCAAATAAAACAAGGAAAAATTTGATTGTGTAAAAATTCAAGTATAAAATACCTCAAAGTATTTCTAACAGTATCACTTGAATAAAGTAACCTTCAAATCATTTTACATCAATTACAAAGCCCAAAGAAAGTCTCTACCTAAAATATACAAAGATAATTCCTTTTCTTTTTTTTTTCTTCCTCTTGAAACAAGAAGTAATAATTAACATTACCCTCAAATGGGAATCCTTTAAAGTAATAACACTACTAATAATAATGATTGAAAAAAAAAAAAGTCTTCATAATCAACAAGCTCTTTTATGCTAAGCCTAAAGTAAAAATACCAAACTGGCATTCTCAATTTTAGAATGGAAAAACCCATAATTCTGCATAATCCAAACAAAACTCTAGAACCAGTTCCATTGCTTTACGAGAGAGAGAGAGAGAGGGAGAAACAAAAATATCATGGAAACTACTAACAAAAATCAAACCAAAACTTCACCCACAAAAGAAAATGAGAGAGAAACATCATTAAGTAAACAAAATTTTCAGGAAAAGAAAAACCAAAAAGTAAAAAACAGAGGACACCAAGTACAAAACCAAGAAATGGGCAGTTGATTTTCGCTTCATTACAGTACCTGAACCTTCTCTATCCTCTCGTACTCCATTAGATCTCTCTCTCTCTCTCTAGAATCCAGTAGCAGAGGAAGAATAAGAAGAAGAAGAAGAAGAGAGAAGAGAAGAGAAGAAGCGATAGGGAGAGGACGGAGAAACTTCCCTCTCTCAAGTATTTGAGTCCTCCATATCCGACAAGAAGGGAGTGACTACTGCTCCTGTGGGCCCCTCTTTCCCTTACCATCTCCGTTTTCCCTCTGACACGTCATCACATGGGACCCACCTGATGTGGCTGTCTGACTAGTCTCCGCCCTCGTGGACACGTGAGTTGGCGGGCGGCACCACACGAGGAATTGCCGATTTTTTTGGGATTTTTTATTTATTTTTTATTTTTTTGAATTTATTTATTTTGGCAGAAAAAGACAAAAGCGGAAATGATTAGGACCAAGCTTTTGAACACTATGGAATTTATTATATATTAATATTTAAATAATATAAATTGATTTTTTTAATAAAAAATAAATAAAGAAATTATCAAATCAATCAATAAAAAATAAAATAAATAAAGGAGTTGATTTTGGAGTTTAATTATCAAATCTTGTGGTTTAATGGTTTGTGAGGTTGGACTTTGACTAAGTGGTCCCCCACAAATCCAAAACTTTGACTCATTCAAAATTTTATTATTACATCATTTTTTTTTCATTATTACTCTAATTTCTTAAATATATTTTTAATAATGAGTTATATTTTTTATTAATTATTTTTTTAAAAAAATTTAATCTTAAAATAAAAGATTAATTTTTGATACCTCGAACTTGATAAATTTTCATTTCGACTCCAAATACGAAACTTCTTATTCATTGTTATTGTTACGTGTAGAAATTATTAATAATTAAAAAGTATTAATCGTTTTTATTAATTACATAATTTAATTATTATTTTTCTGTGGGCTAAAAGTTTAAATTTGTGTTTCGTAATTTTTTTTTGAGATTGTGTAATTCAGTTCTTTTAGATTATCTGTTTTCAATTCAAAAATGAGTTTTTTGAATGTTTTTACTATGTGAATGAAATTTATTACTACCGTTTAACACTATTAGTTTATATTTAACAAATAAATTTTAAAATTCTTAATAAATTAAATAATTTTTTTAAAAATAGAAAAGTTAATTTATGGATAGGAAAAGACAAATATTTCTGGTGAGTTTTTGTAACATCTATACCTAAAAATTTAGTACGGGATAATTTAATATTAATAATAAAAGTAAATTAAAATAATTTTAATTTTAATTTTTTACAAAAATTGAGTTTTGGATGCATTTGAAAATATTTTCAAAAATCATGGACAAAATAAAAATAAATGATGACTTATTTGAAGAGAAATCTAGAAAACTATGGTAAAAATAAAATTTTCAAAAGTTTGGCCACGTGGACTGCCACGTCAGCAGTGCAACCAGTCTTCGTGCACCGCATGGTAGACACGTGGACACATGTCCACGTGGGAAGTCATGTGGGCAATCCGCATGCTAGCGGATCCAACGGCCCAGATCGCATACGCGCGTTAGGACGACCCATATCTGTTTTCTCTTTAGGTACAATCAAATAGCTGGATTTGATCGTGATGGACAGTCTAGATTTGCACCCGGATCTGCCTAAACAGGTCTCAAATCGGATGGCTCTCCATACTCGAACGTCGATACAAATGAATATTTATGATTAGGGGAAGAGAGGTATTTAAACCTCTATTTGGTCGGCTCCCAAAATCCTAGATGACACCTCTGACCGAAGAGAAAAAAAAGGCAGCCGAAGAAAGCTCAGCCGCGGAGAGCCATTGTCGTCGCGCACTGAGCATCGCGACACGAAAAGGAAATTTTTCTCTC